TGAGTTTAAATGTATTTGGCTAAGGTGTTTGTGAACCTCCGACTTCAACTGTATATGGCACAGCTGTAAAATATTTTGTCCTTAAATGAAACTGGTATACTTTTTTATTCATCACAATTTTCTTTAGCCAATGTTGGTCTTTAATGCAGGGTCGACAGACAAGTTTCTTACTTTCTTCCCCTTCCACTTGCCTCTTCCATTTTTGCGGTAATGCTGCAATTAGTTGGTTGTAATTTTGAGTAGAGCAGACATTTCCATATACAGTGGGGAAAAAAAGTATTTAGTCAGCCACCAATTGTGCATGTTCTCCCACTTAAAAAGATGAGAGAGGTCTGTAATTTTCATCATAGGTACACGTCAACTATGACAGACAAATTGAGAATTCTTTTCCAGAAAATCACATTGTAGGATTTTTTATGAATTTATTTGCAAATTATGGTGGAAAATAAGTATTTGGTCACCTACAAACAAGCAAGATTTCTGGCGCTCACAGACCTGTAACTTCTTCTTTAAGAGGCTCCTCGATCCTCCACTCGTTACCTGTATTAATGGCACCTGTTTGAACTTGTTATCAGTATAAAATACACCTGTCCACAACCTCAAACAGTCACACTCCAAACTCCACTATGGCCAAGACCAAAGAGCTGTCAAAGGACACCAGAAACAAAATTGTAGACCTGCACCAGGCTGGGAAGACTGAATCTGCAATAGGTAAGTAGCTTGTTTTGAAGAAATCAACTGTGGGAGCAATTATTAGGAAATGGAAGACATACAAGACCACTGATAATCTCCCTCGATCTGGGGCTCCACGCAAGATCTCACCCCGTGGGGTCAAAATTATCACAAGAAAAATCCCAGAACCACACGGGGGGACCTAGTGAATGACCTGCAGAGAGCTGGGACCAAAGTAACAAAGCCTACCATCAGTAACACACTACGCCGCCAGGGACTCAAATCCTGCAGTGCCAGACGTGTCCCCCTGCTTAAGTCAGTACATGTCCAGGCCCGTCTGAAGTTTGCTAGAGTGCATTTGGATGATCCAGAAGAGGATTGGGAGAATGTCATATGGTCAGATGAAACCAAAATATAACTTTTTGGTAAAAACTCAACTTGTCGTGTTTGGAGGACAAAGAATGCTGAGTTGCATCCAAAGAACACCATACCTACTGTGAAGCATGCTAGGGTGGAAACATCATGCTTTGGGGCTGTTTTTCTGCAAAGGGACCAGGACGACTGATCTGTGTAAAGGAAAGAATGAATGGGGCCATGTATTGTGAGATTTTGAGTGAAAACCTCCTTCCATCAGCAATGGCATTGAAGATGAAACATGGCTGGGTCTTTCAGCATGACAATGATCCCAAACACACCGCCTGGGCAACGAAGGAGTGGCTTCGTAAGAAGCATTTCAAGGTCCTGGAGTGGCCTAGCCAGTCTCCAGATCTCAACCCCATAGAAAATCTTTGGAGGGAGTTGAAAGTCTGTGTTGCCCAGCGACAACCCCAAAACATCACTGCTCTAGAGGAGATCTGCATGGAGGAATGGGTCAAAATACCAGCAACAGTGTGTGAAAACCTTGTGAAGACTTACAGAAAACGTTTGACCTGTGTCATTGCCAACAAGGGTATACAGTGGGGTGAACAAGTATTTGATACACTGCCGATTTTGCTCAAGCCAGCGCATGTCCAGGCCCGTCTGAAGTTTGCCAATGACCATCTGGATGATCCAGAGGAGGAATGGGAGAAGGTCATGTGGTCTGATGAGACAAAAATAGGACTTTTTGGTCTAAACTCCACTCGCCGTGTTTGGAGGAAGAAGAAGGATGAGTACAACCTCAATAACACCATCCCAACCGTGAAGCATGGAGGTGGAAACATCATTCTTTGGGGATGCTTTTCTGCAAAGGGGACAGGACAACTGCACCATATTGAGGGGAGGATGGATGGGGCCATGTATCGCGAGATCTTGGCCAACAACCTCCTTCCCTCAGTAAGAGCATTGAAGATGGGTCGTGGCTGGGTCTTCCAGCATGACAACGACCCGAAACATACAGCCAGGGCAACTAAGGAGTGGCTCCGTAAGAAGCATCTCAAGGTCCTGGAGTGGCCTAGCCAGTCTCCAGACCTGAACCCAATAGAAAATCTTTGGAGGGAGCTGAAAGTCCGTATTGCCCAGCAACAGCCCCGAAACCTGAAGGATTTGGAGAAGGTCTGTATGGAGGAGTGGGCCAAAATCCCTGCTGCAGTGTGTGCAAACCTGGTCAAGACCTACAGGAAACGTATGATCTCTGTAATTGCAAACAAAGGTTTCTTTAGCAAATATGAAGTTCTGCTTTTCTGATGTATCAAATACGTATGTCATGCAATAAAATGCAAATGAATTACTTAAAAATCATACAATGTGATTTTCTGGATTTTTGTTTTAGATTCCTTCTCTCACAGTTGAAGTGTACCTATGATAAAAATTACAGACCTCTACATGCTTTGTAAATAGGAAAACCTGCAAAATCGACAGTGTATCAAATACTTGTTCTCCCCACTGTACAACAAAGTATTGAGAAACTTTTGTTATTGACCAAATACTTATTTTCCACCATAATTTGCTAATAAATTCATAAAAAACTCCTACAATGTGATTTTCTGGAAAAAAAATTCTCATTTTGTCTGTCATAGTTGACATGTACCTATGATGAAAATTACAGGCCTCTCTCATCTTTTTAAGTGGGAGAACTTGCACAATTGGTGGCTGACTAAATACTTTTTTTCCCCACTGTATGTTTGTTAGCTGCATGTAGTAGTATGTTAATGTTTTTATTACAGAATGAAAGCACTGCTAGTCTAGACATGTATGATAGGGCTAGTTCATTGGATGATCACAATACAAAATGTCAACAACCATACAACATTGCCATCATTTAACATTTAACATTTAAGTCATTTAGCAGACACTCTTATCCAGAGCGACTTACAAATTGGTGCATTCAACTTAGGATAGCCAGTGGGACAACCACTCCCTTTTTTTCCTTCTTTTTTTTAAATGTGGGGGGGGGGGGTAGTAGGATTACTGTTATACTATTCTAGGTATTCCTTAAAGAGGTAGGGTTTCAAGTGTCTCTGGAAGGTGGTCAGTGACTCCGCTGTCCTGGCGTCGTGGGGGAGCTTGTTCCACCATTGGGGTGCCAGAGCAGCGAATAGCTTTGACAGGGCTGAGCGGGAATTGTGCTTCCGTAGAGGTAGGGGGGCTAGCAGGCCAGAGGTGGATGAACGTAGTGCCCTCGTTTGGGTGTAGGGTCTGATCAGAGCCTGAATGTAAGGAGGTGTCGTTCCCCTCACAGCTCCGTAGGCAAGCACCATGGTTTTGTAGTAGATGCGAGCTTCAACTGGAAGCCAGTGGAGTGTGCGGAGGAGCGGGGTGACATGAGAGAACTTGGGAAGGTTGAACACCAGACGGGCTGCAGCGTTCTGGATAAATTGTAGGGGTTTAATGGCACAGGCAGGGAGCCCAGCCAACAGCGAGTTGCAGTAATCCAGAAGGGAGATGACAAGTGCCTGGATTAGGACCTGTGCCGCTTTCTGTGTAAGGTAGGGTCGTACGCTGCAAATGTTGTAGAACATGAACCTGCAGGATCGGGTCACCGCTTTAATGTTAGCGGAGAACGACACGGTGTTGTCCAGGGTCACGCCATTAATTCAGATCATCATAATTTATCCACTAACTTTATCAATCATCTGTCTTGTATCTGGATGTGATTGGATGGATGGGTGGATGGATGGATCTTTAACATATTTATTTACCATCTTTAACATCCTCTCCAAGGAGGCAGGCTAACAAGAACTAACCTGATTTCAGCAACAATTACATGTCTAGACTGAGCTCCCGACAGACTGTGACTCCTGCCAAGCTCCAGGATATTGACAGAGAGAGGATGTAGTGTGTAGTGTGGAGAGATGGAGCTCATTAACATATTAATGGGGTAGGAAACTGTGATAAACTGCTCTTTAGTCCACCTGGGGCTTGATTAGATGCAGTACTGTACCATACAATCTGTGAGAAACAGGACGTTTATTATTTGAGAGTGTGTGAAGATGATGATGTCATATTGCCCTGCTCTACCCATGACAGACCCTTCTCTCTGGGCCAAGAGAGACTGAGGGGATCAGAAGAGAAACGGATGTCTGGATATGCAGCTGGTATGTGTCTTCCCAATGCATGTATGTTATAACCATTCCTCAGCTACTTAGCTGTTATGCCAACTTTGTTCACATTCTCTCTCTCTCTTTATACCTCTCACCTTGTCCTCCTCGTATGACTCTAGCCAAGAGTCTCCTCTGTCTACAGGAGACAGTATGCTCATTCCTGGACAGAGCCAGTGAGTTTGCAATGTAGATTTACAGTAGATGCTAGTGTTTGAGAAAGTACAAGAGAACATTAAAAAGAGTGCATTGCGTATTTCTTAGTTACCAGTGGAGGTGGGCTGAGGCGGTTGCCCTATTCATTTTACAGAGCCCAGTGAGGAAACCTAACCTCTGACCTCCGATGTCATCAACCTAGTTGTGTGTCATCACTCTGGACCCAGGCAGTGAGTGCAGATAGCAGGATAGTATGTCCTTATGAACCTTGAGATAATGTGGTAAAGGAAGTGGATTTTAAGGTGATGACCTCAGCCGATAAAACGGTAGGCTATTGATTTGAACATACATGCACACAGTCAATTAATATATATTTATTATTAGAAAAACAAAAATACAACTTATTTCATTGTATCTTTAATAATATGTATTGTTTGTTCATGTTAATTCTATGAGACTACAGAGACTGCTGTGCTCATTTTCACATGATTCATGCTTCCTCATACGTGTGCACCCTTCCTCGTCCCCTCATTACTTCACTCCACCACTTTACTGTGTTTCTTCTTTGTTTTTTTATGACCGCCCACACCATTGCCACTAGTTTAATTATTGTGGAAATGTAAGCAACCTTTCACCGTCACGTTGGACTCCTCCCCTAGCTATCCAATGGACTTTAACTCAATCAGGCTCTGAAACAGAAAAAACACACAGAACTAAGTGATTAGATGTTTTTACAGTGACCATTTTTACATCAGTTTGCAATAATGAGTGGGAAACCCCTTTTTGTGAACGTGGACAAATGGATTGCAGAGAATGAAAAGGCTTTTTTGCCACCGGTGTGCAACAAACTCATGTGAGTAGCAGCCTGGGCTAGTTTCATTTACAGATAGTTTCAGTTTTAGTTGCACACTCTGGTGTCGCTAGACTTGTAATAACTCACTAAATATACTACAAAGGTTTTATATATCATACATCATAGATTCTTCACAAATCATCTATAAGCTTATATAAAGCATTTGTAGTTATTTTAAAATGGGACCATGTTATTATCATGTTGAGCTGTAACAAGTACTGTTTACCCCCTGACTATCTACACTAGTCCAATAGTAATCATGTACACTATGTTAGCAAAGATTGACAAAGGTAATGAATTTGAGCAAAGTGAATGCTTATATTTTATTTCTCCGCTAGGCATTTTTGTCAGCTGAACATCATGTTTGTTGGAGGTCCCAACACCAGAAAGGACTACCACATTGAGGAAGGGGAGGAGGTGAGAGAAAATGCCAGCGTTCACCTATCACATTGGCTAAATACTGTGGAAAATGATTGAATGATGTTCCTGAGTTTGTGTGACCGTTCATAGTGCTTGCAGAAAATGGGTATTCAAATGACTACGAGATAGAATTCCTATGTGATGTCCCTATCTGAAAGTAAGCAACTAATGCAAGGACACTACCATGCTATTTAGTTAGCAGTCAGTCAGCCACAGTAGTACCTTTCCTGACCCATGTGCCTGACCCTTAAGTGATAATGCCTGAGAAGATGGTGTTTGGAGAATATATTGGCACGGTTGTTGTTAGGCCCGAGAGGAAGTCGGGTATATCCTCCAAACAGGGCATTATCACTTTTATACATGCGTTTCCAACATATTCTAATTATGATTGACATATTTTCATAAAAAAAAGTTATTTTGATTAATTTATTCATGCTATTTCATCTTTCCACAAGATATAGTCCAGACACAAATCTAAGGTTGCTACCCAAGCAGGCTGGTCGTTCATTCTATTGGTTCGGTTGCCAGTCGTTTGTTCTAAATGTTCCATTGCCATACTGTCACATAAACTCAGTCAGTTCTTCCTACCGCAATAGGGACAAATTCCACAAGAATGTCACCCTTTGGTCACCACTATTTGATCTGGCTATTTGTCTAGTTGAAGCCCAAAGTAAATCCCTGTTCAAGTGTTACTCTTTTTTATCTTTGGTAGCATGAGCATGTACCACTTTAAACAAACTACAATTTATAAAGGCTTTATATAGCATACACAAAGTCTTTGTAAGTACAACATATATGCTTCACAAATCATCTATAACCTTATCTCATACTGTATAAACGGTGACATAACAGCGCCCTATGTAGGATGCATTGCCAAATCTGACATAACCCACTATGTCGATTTCCCCAAAAGCCGAAAAACCAATGGGAATAAGCAAAGGATTGTATTTGTATTTTCAATAACATAGTCTAACCACTGGAGGTCAGCATAAGCACATTCATATCATAGTGAGGACTATTGGCTGTGATGTGAAGCTGAAGATATCCTCCACATCCTGTATCTGTACATTTTCTAGTCCGTAGTCATTGCTTTTCACTGTCATATCCTCTCCTTGTCTTGTTTTGTGCAGCTCTTTTACCAGGTGAAAGGGGACATGTGTCTGAAGTTGGTTGAGAATGGCAAACATAAGGATGTGCATATCCGCGAGGGAGAGGTGAGAGGATAGGCATTAATTTCAAGCTTCTCTCACTAAGCCCACTGTTTAACATAAGTGACAGTGCCATATCAAGCTATGCAGATTTGTTACATTCGTGTTTGTGTCATACACACCCCATGTCCTCCTGTGTCCTTCTGTGGTCCTCAGATGTTTCTGCTTCCAGCTCGGATCCCCCACTCCCCCCAGAGACTGGCTAACACTGTGGGGCTGGTGGTGGAGAGAAGGAGGCTTCAGTCAGAGAGAGACTGTTTAAGGTACCACCATCCACCATGTCTTCTTATCCTTTACTTATATAATATCACTCTTCTTACACACTCTTCATCCATCTACGCGCCTCACGTCCCCTTCTGCTTGACCCCTTACAAGAGAGAGCAAGAAAAAGGCCGAGAGGGGTGAGAGAGAAAGAGTGTATTAAAGCATGGCTCTTTGTGGTTTTAGGTACTATGTGGACAACACTTCAGACACCCTTTTTGAGAGATGGTTTCACTGTGAAAACCTGGGGACCCAGCTGGTGCCAGTGATTCAAGAGTGAGACTTATATCATTGATTTTAGTCTGGCATTAAACATAACACTTTCTAGTGAACATTAGTGCTCAGCAGTGTTATACTCAGCTGATGCTTTGTTTCTCAGGTTTTTTGCGTCGGAGCAGCACAGAACAGGCAAGCCAAACCCAGGTGAGTCCCCATCTCACAAAATGACACAATGGGAAGGGTGGGCTTCAATAGGTTGATATCGGTTTGGCACTCTACTGACTGAAAATGCATTATGTCCTGATTTGCCCACCTTTGATTTTTGTGTGGTTTTACATCGGGTCCGTGGATATTTTGCTGTGCTGGTGTATCCCACTACCCGAGAGCCCTGTTGGCCTATGTCAAGGATTGGTAACTTTGATGGGGGTGAGGGCCACAAAAAAACGTAACTCGTCATGAAGGGCTGCTGTGACTCGTGGGTCTGAGTACGCCATGGGAAGGAGAGAAGATTTTGCAATTTTTTTACTCATTTCATGCAATTCTACACATTTTGCCATAGGGTCGAGGCAAATGTTAGCAGTTTTTAATATGATAACTGATGATCAATGGGCCCCACCCTGGTCGGTAATTTGACCATGCTTACTACAAGTTTACATAGCTGGCCGCTAGACTAACTTACCAATAAAAACATTTTTTGCTAACAAATTTCGAAATTGCGCCTTGTGTATTCTATTATTCTAACTCTCAAGAGTAAGTTGAGACCCCGAATGAGTTCCCCCCCCCCCCCCCCCCCACAAAACAATAAAATAATAAAAAGAATATTAAAACAATAATATATATATATTTATATATATATATATATATATATATATATATATATATATATATATATATATATATATATATATATATATATATATATACAGTGCAATCGGAAAGTATTCGACCCCTTCCCTTTTTCCACATTTTGTTACATTACAGCCTTATTCTAAAATGGATTTAAACAAAAGTTTTCCTCATCAATCTACACACAATACCCAATAATGACAAAGCAAAAACTGGTTTTTAGAAATTTGTGCAAATGTATAAAAAATTAACAAACCTGGCACAATCCCTACGGTGAAGCATGGTGGTGGCAGCATCATGCTGTGGGGATGTTTTTCAGCGGCAGGGACTAGGAGACTAGTCAGGATCGAGGGAAAGACGAACGGAGCAAAGTACAGAGAGATCCTTGATGAAAACATGCTGCAGAGCGCTCAGGACCTCAGACTGGGGCGAAGGTTCACCTTCCAACAGGACAACGACCCTAAGCACACAGCCAAGACAACGCAGGAGTGGCTTCGGGACTCTGAATGTCCTTGAGTGGCCCAGCCAGAGCCCGGACTTAAACCCGATCGAACATCTCTGGAGAGACCTGGAAATAGCTGTGCAGCAATGCTCCCCATCCAACCTGACAGAGCTTGAGAGGATCTGCAGAGAAGAATGGGAGAAACTCCCCAAATACAGGTGTGCCAAGCTTGTAGCGTCATACCCAAGAAGACTCGAGGCTATAATTGCTGCCAAAGCTGCTTCAACAAAGTACTGAGTAAAGGGTCTGAATACTTATTTAAATGTGGTATTTCAGTTTTTTATTTATAATACATTTGGAAAAAATTCTAAAAACCTGTTTTTGCTTTGTCATTATGGGGTATTGTGTGTAGATTGATGAGGAAAAAAACTATTTAATCCATTTTAGAATAAGGCTGCAACATAACAAAATATGGAAAAAGTCAAGGGGTCTGAATACTTTCCGAATGCACCTGTATATATACATATATTTTTGTGTGTGTGTGAAATTGGTCCGCAGGCCTACCAAAGGGGGCCTCCAGTTGCCCATCCCTGGCATATGTTTTATCATTTTATGTGCTATCGTAGTGCATACTGTTTTGCACTGTGATGCATTTCTGCCTCTGTTTGTCTAGATGAGGTCTTCAGACAGCCTCCCTTCCCAATGAACACCATGCATGTGATGACCCCCTTCCACTTCAGAGACTGGGTGGACAAACAGCGGCCCTCCCTGGCCAGCGGACGCCCCATTGACATGTTTGGGGCCCAGTTTGAGACAGAGGTGACCCTGGAATATTCCAATTATGACTTAGCTATTTGCTGAACTTACACATCGATTGAGACCTTTCAAAGCGATCAGTCTAGACTGAGCACCCCACTGATTCAAACTCATGACTCGCTAATATTGAAAGTTGAATACATGTTGCTCATTAGTGTGTTGATTATGTTGCTCATTATTGTAGTAGGAGCTATAATTCAATTAGGACTGGTTTATCAGTTTAGTGAGTGTATAGATGATGATGGTGGTGATGATGATGATGATGATGATGATGTTTCTTCTACCACTCTGTGACAGACCATGCTGTATGGGCCCGGGCAGACAGAGGCTTGTGAACGAGAAACTGATGTCTGGATATGGCAGCAGGTATGTCTCCTATTACTACTCTATTAGAGTATTTGCATTTCTGTCAATTTATCATGCCTTCAGTATTTCTTTCAATTTGTGTTATTTCTCGCTCTTCCTTTACATCTACAGTGAGGGAAAAAAGTATTTGATCCCCTGCTGATTTTTTATGTTTGCCCACTGACAAAGAAATGATCAGTCTATAATTTTAACTGCAGAGGGGTCAAATACTTATTTCCCTCATTAAAATGCAAATCAATTCATAACATGACATGCGTTTTTCTAGATTTTGTTGTTGTTATTCTGTCTACCATTAAAATTATAGACTGATCATTTCTTTGTCAGTGGGCAAACGTACAAAATCAGCAGGGGATCAAATACTTTTTTCCCTCACTGTATCTGCTTCCCTCTGTCTATTTGCACTTTGTCTCTCGCTCACCCTCTCTTCCTCTTTCAGGAGGGATCCTCCCATGTGACTCTGGATGGCCAAGAGTTCCCTCTGTCCACAGGAGACAGTCTACTCATTCCTGGACACAGCCAGTGAGTGGGATGATGAGTGTGATAATAAGATAAGGAAAAAAATTGCTTTTGAGGAAGGAAGTTAAATTCAAGTAACACAAGAAAAAAGAAGTTAGGCAACTCAGATACAGCAGAGGCTGTTATTTTGTGGTTTGATAGAGGAATCTGTTTGACTTTGTGTTTGTCTGATTCATATGCTGCAGGTACCAATGGAGGCGGGCTGAGGGGAGCATTTCCCTGTTTGTCGCTCAGAACCCAGAGAGGAAGCGTGCATGACCTGTGACACACAAGGGAAAGGGGGGGGGCAGCACTGTTTTAGCTGTCCCATAATATATATTTTTGGTGACAGTACTGTTTTTCTTCCGGAATCACGATGTAAATAAACACCCTTACACAGAAGTACTTTTGCTGCTCCGCCATCATTTTATTTGATAGAGGTTAGGTTTTTCAGTTTAGCCTTCTGGCCTACTCTAAGCAACATATGGTGGCAGCGGTGGGATGGCGCACCGCAAATCAGTGAATTCCAAAAAGAGATGTAAAGGAACGCGTACAGTGTTGTGTTCTCAGCAGCAGCATCAACTGTTAGTAAAGGCACCTAAAATTGAAACGAGGTGGAATACCATGGAATCGTTCGGCAAAGAAGAGGTAAATTAAAATAATCTAGGAGCCCGACCAAGGGGCCAAACAGAACCAGAACCGCCTGAGTTGACGATAGAACCGCCAGATACAGGCATAAAAGACTATCCGACTGAAGGAGCAGTTGGGGGACCAGAACCACACCCAACCATGGTAGCCCTTTTCCAATAACTTCTCACCTGCCTTGAGAGGAGGGATGAAGACCTCAAGCATGAGACGAGATCAGTGAGGTCATCATCCTCGAGCAACATCTACATGTTCTCCCACAAGACACTCAAACCTGGGACAGAGAGCATGAGCCCAAGGATGGGCTTATGGCGGCCAAGCTGGCACTGCAGTACCTTAATGCATGTAAAGGGAGCCCACCACAACCTGCAGCACCCGCTCCAAGGAGTTTCAGAGACACAAGGGACATCAGAGATGCCAGAGATGGTGGAGGTAACTCTGGGGGGTATGTGTCTGGGAGGAGGGAGGTAAGGGATCATGCAGTTCGCTCTGATGGGAGGGGCCTGACCTTTTTTTACTGTGAGCAGCAAGGGCACAAAGCTTCAATGTGTCCACTACGTAAATCCAAGCTCTCAGGTAACTGTTACAGTGAGGGAAAAAAGTATTTGATCCCCTGCTGATTTTGTAAGTTGGCCCACTGACAAAGACGTGATCAGTCTATAATTTGAATGGTAGGTTTATTTGAACAGTGAGAGACAGAATAACAACAACAAAATCCAGAAAAATGTCAGAAATGTTATAAATTGATATGCATTTTAATGAGGGAAATAAGTATTTGACCCCTCTGCAAAACATGACTTAGTACTTGGTGGCAGTCCCTTGTTGGCAATCACAGAGGTCAGACATTTCTTGTAGTTGGCCACCAGGTTTGCACACATCTCAGGAGGGATTTTGTCCCACTCCTCTTTGCAGATCTTCTCCAATTCATTAAGGATTCGAGCCTGACGTTTGGCAACTCGAACCTTCAGCTCCCTCCACAGATCTTCTATGGGATTAAGGTCTGGAGACTGGCTAGGCAACTCCAGGACCTTAATGTGCTGCTTCTTGAGCCACTCCTTTGTTGCCTTGGCCATGTGTTTTGGGTCATTGTCATGCTGGAATACCCATCCACGACCCATTGTCAATGCCCTGGCTGAGGGAAGGAGGTTCTCACCCAAGATTTGACGGTACATGGTGCCGTCCATCGTCCTTTTGATGCGGTGAAGTTGTTCTGTCCCCTTAGCAGAAAAACACCCCCAAAGCATAATGTTTCCACCTCCATGTTTGACGGTGAGGATGGTGTTCTTGAGGTCATAGGCAACATTCCTCCTCCTCCAAACATGGCGAGTTGAGTTGATGCCAAAGAGCTCGATTTTGGTCTCATCTGACCACAACACTTTCACCCAGTTCTCCTCTGAATCATTCAGATGTTCATTGGCAAACTTCAGAAGGGCCTGTATATGTGCTTTCTTGAGCAGGGGGACCATGCGGGTGCTTCAGGATTTCAGTCCTTCACGGCGTAGTGTGTTACCAATTGTTTTCTTGGTGACTATGGTCCCAGCTGCCTTGAGATCATTGACAAGATCCTCCCGTGTAGTTCTGGGCTGATTCCTCACCATTCTCATGATCATTGCAACTCCACGTGGTGAGGTCTTGCATGGAGCCCCAGGCTGAGGGAGATTGACAGTTATTTTGTGTTTCTTCCATTTGCGAATAATCACACCAACTGTTGTCACCTTCTCATCAAGCTGCTTGGCGATGGTCTTGTAGCCCATTCCATCCTTGTGTAGGTCTACAATCTTGTCCCTGACATCGTTGGAGAGCTCTTTGGTCTTGGCCATGGTGGAGAGTTTGGAATCTGATTGATTGATTGCTTCTGTGGACAGGTGTCTTTTATACAGGTAACAAACTGAGATTAGGAGCACTCCCTTTAAGAGTGTGCTCTTAATCTCAGCTCGTTACCTGTATAAAAGAGAGCTGGGAGCCAGAAATCTTTCTGATTGAGAGGGGGTCAAATACTTATTTCCCTCATTAAAATGCAAATGAATTTTTTTAAACATTTTTGACATGCGTTTTTCTGGATTATTTCGTTGTTATTCTGTCTCTCACTGTTCAAATAAACCTACCATTAAAATTATAGACTGATCATTTCTTTGTCAGTGGGCAAACGTACAAAATCAGCAGGGGATCAAATACTTTTTTCCCTCACTGTAGCAGGAGGTTAGTGGTGCGGTCTAGTTGTAGACCACTTGTTCTCAACCTTGCATATACAGTTCCATGGGCAGGCCATCTAGGGCCACATAAGACCTATCTCAATCTTGTCACGGTTTCGGCCGAGGCTGCTCCTCTTCCTGGTTCGGGCAGGCTTCGGCGGTCGTCGTCCCCGGAGTACTAGCTGCCACCGATCGATGTTTCATGTTCGTTTGGTTTTGTCTTTATGTTGTACACCTGTGTCTTGTTAGTCCTCGTTAGTGTCCTATTTAGTTCTCGTTGGTTGTGTTTGTCTTTGTGTGTGATTGCTCTTCTGTTTTCGTGTTGGAGCTACGTACTTCCCTCCAGTGTTTTGGAGAGGGTTTTCGCACATGTTAGTGCGCCATTTGTTTGACGCCTGTGTGCGCCGTGATTTCGCCTTCGGGCTTATTGTGCTTATTTTCTACGTGATTATTGCACTAAAGTCTTTTGGACTGAGCTTCTGCGTCCTGCGCTTGATTCATGCACCACACCCACCTTCAGCACCCCTTGACAAAGCTAGGCTCCCGTTTCTTTTGGGCCTCCATGTACACTGATGTGTTCCCGGAAGCCTTCCCACTCCGTTCCATAACCACTCCAAAAATAAACAGTGCTCTTGTTTAGCTCTTCTCTCTTGTAGAAATCCCAGATAAAATCCTGACGGACCAAGGGACAAACTTTTGAACTCCACCAACAGCTGTGCATCAAAGGCTTGAGGACCACTCCCTACGATCCCCAAACGGATGGACTCGTAGAGAGATTCAATCAAACGCTCAAGAACATGCTGAGGAAGTTTGTGGCCGATATTGGCAAAGGCTGGAATAAGTGGTTACCCTTTCTGCTTTTTGCTTACAGGGAGTTGCCTCAGGCATCGACGGGTTTCTCGCCATTCAAACTCCTCTATGGGTGGCCAGTGCAGGGACCACTGGATCTGCTGAAGAAGTACTGGGAGGGTCCCTCAGCAGCAACCTCGGGACAGCGGATTGTCCAGTACGCCCTCCAGATGTGTGACAGTCTGGAAAGGTACTGAGAGGAAGCCAGGGTGAACCTTCAGCAAGCCCTGAAGGCCCAGAAGAGAAGGTATGACCAGCACGCTCACCACAGAGAGTTCGAGCCAGGACAGAAAGTCCTGCTCCTCCTTCCCTTGTCTACCAGCAAGCTCCTCGTGCAGTGGCAAGGGCCATACCTAATCGGGAGGAGGATGGGCCCGGTGACCTACGAGGTGCTGCCCCCAGACAAGGGTAAGGAGAATCAAACCTACCATGTGAACCTCCTCAAGGCCTGGGAGGAGAGAGAGGAACTCTCCAAGGGGAAATCCTTCTTGGTCCACAGAGTAGAAGAAGAGAACGAGTCGGAGGGGGTCACTGAGGCATGGAAGGGATGAGCAGAGGTCATTCTGGCTCACCTGGAAGAAGGCAAGCAAGATGACCTTAGGCAGCTGTTTGGCGAGTATCCAGCTCTCTTCAGTCAGAAGCCAGGAAGAACCAAGGTCGTGGAACACATCATCCATTTGAAGCCTAACCAAAACCATGTGCGCCAGCATCCTTACCGTGTGCCTGAGAGGCTGGTGGTAGCCCTCAAGGAAGATGTCCACACCACGGTAGAGATGGATGTTGTCGAGCCATCGTCAAATGAATGGAGCAGCCCCATTGTCATTGTCCCAAAGAAGGATGTCTCTTTGCGTGTCTGCATGGACTTTTGATGCCTACCCTACCCTATGCCCCGCGTTGACGACTTACTGGAGAGAATAGGTAGAGCTCATTACATCACCACATTGGATCTCTGCAAAGGGTACTGGCAGGTGCCTACCGGATGCCGATCGGCCTGTTCCAGTTCAAGGTTATGCCGTTTGGCCTTCATGGGGCCCCTGCTACTTTCCAGAGGCTGATGGACAAGGTCCTCCAGGACTGTGACGATTGCTGTGCTGCCTACTTGGATGACATGGTGATCTACAGCCACTCCTGGGAGGAGCACATACAACATCTGAGCAGAGTCCTGGGGAAGATCCATGATGCGGGCCTCACGCTTAACCTCTGATGAAGATTTATTAGTAAACTATTGAATAACCAAAGTTAAATCACAGACGTGACGAATATATAGCGAGGATTCTCTGTTGCTAGGCAAGAACTTGAATGGTTCCTTTTACTGGGCTTGTGTGTGTGTGAAATGGGGATTTGACCTAGGATCGAATTGCTCGCTCTTACCTAATCCATGGCTGTCCTACCTTATCAGAGACTGAAACCAGACTGTTGCCTAATGCATCTTTTCTCAAACAAAGTGCGGCGCCAGAGTTTAACAGAGTTTAGACTAGTCATGAGTAATTACAGCATGATGGGAGGGAAGAAGAGGAGTGGGTTTGTATACGTTTGAGAGATTGAGTGTGGACCTGTCATGTCCAACAATCAATCTTCAGGTCAAGCCAGGGTGAGCCGGGGTTGAACAGAGTTTAAAACTGAACATGATTGTTTTTGCATGACAAGGGTGTGATTGATTGATTGTAATAATATTGTTTCTAAACTGAATGACAGTCAAATGTAGCCCTATCATAGACTAAGGAAGTGGGCGGAGCGGTAGAGAGAGGGAAACTGAAGATAATGGT